CAGTGCTTCATCTTCTTTCCTTCACAACTATTACTAGTGCCACTGGGATCTGTTGATAAAATCCAAATTGTATGCAAATTGATGTGTGTGCATGTTTGAGAAATAGTGTGTGTGTGTTGTGTGGGGGTGAGGCAGTGTGTGGGAGAACAATCCAAACAGTGGTTTTGTAAGAGAACATATTAGATGAGGGGCCCTCCGGGTGCAGTCTGCCGCTGTTGAAGACAAACTCTAGAACCTTGTATTATTGCTGTGGGAATAACGCAGAGTTTACCCCAAAACAACCACCTGTTTATACAACGCGCACACACACACACACACACACACACACACACACACACACACAGATGAAGTCATACACAAATGTATTCACAGATACTCAGGCTTGAAAAAACAAAAATCCTCGACACAAGTTACATATCGACATGCATTCTGAACACATGCACGCACAGTTGTCGTTGACACACACACACACACACACCCACACACACACACACACACACACACCCCCACACACAACCTCACTAACATCAATAGAAGGGTGTGTCTGGGAGCTATTTTAGATGAAGCCACATGAAAGAGAGAAGGGGGTTGCAGAGAAAGATGCGCCATACAAAGACATGTGAGCAGTGAAGAACTAGAAAGACATGGGGAAAATAAAGCAGGCAGACACCACTCTGCCGAATAGCAATGTATTCACTCAGAAAATACACTCATCTGCCGTACATTTATCATGTTTAAAGCTGCAACAATAGATCTGTTCATTATGCTTCAATTAATTACATAAAATGTTAGAAAATCGCATTTCCCGAGAACCAAAGTTACGTTTTTTTGTCAGACTAATGGTTCGAAACACAAAAATATTCAGTTTTATAACAATGTAAATTGGAGAAAAACAGCAAATCTTCACATTGTGATAAGTTGGAACCATGTAGACGTATTAAATGATGTAAACAGGTAATTTAAGTTTGAATATTTTACTAAATGTTTCAGGTCTAATTATGTTGCATTACATGAAAGATGCTTAGTACAAGATTGAACAACAATTTATCGACATATATCTGCCTAATCTTCTTTTAATTAACTTTGCGATCAGATTTACGACTGGTTTGGTCTCTGAGAAACCAGTAAGCAACCACTGGGAAGCCACTGTAAGATCTCTCTTGTTTGATGCAAAGTGTTTTTCCACAAAGGGTGGAAATAGAAAAGTGGCTTCTCTCCATTTAAGTCAATTTGACTGCAGACTCAGGTAACGACATCCAGCTGATAAATAGACGTTTGTAGGCTGTAGTTCTTTTCTAGGTATACCAGGGGGCAGCGTAGAGAGGACCAAAGCCCTGCAGGAAACCTATTTATCTGGAGAGTGTTTGATCAGAATAATGCACATGTCAGTAAAGCTGTGTGTGTGTGTGTGTGTGTGTGTGTGTGTGTGTGTGTGTGTGTGTCTATCCAAGGTCAGAGGAGGACTCTGAAGGCAACAGGGACATCTGCAGTGAGATTCTCCAGATGAAAGCTCTTGAGAGGCTCACTTCTACGGTCAGTGTGTTCATGTGTGTCTGAAGATTGGTCGATACAGTATCATATTGCTGTTTAATTGATCATTTATAGTTTTTACATTTCTGCATATTGTCATTTGACACCTTTTTTTTTCCTCCCCAACAGGTACAAAGTGAGTTGGCTGCTGCTCTCGCCCGAAAGACTCGCAAAGCTTGTAAGTATACATTTAGGCCGAGTGTCTGTGCTTTCGTAAGAAGTTGTTGTTGTTTTCATCAGGAGAACATGGAGTGACAATGTAGCATAATAAGTGTGAATATATAAATAACTTGATTCTGTTCGTGGTTGGTTGCAGTGTCAGAGCAGGACTCTGAGACGACGGAGACGAGCCAACAGGAACCTCAGACACCCAGCGAGGAGAGCAGCCCGGTAATACACGCACACACACACACACACACAAACACACACATAGAAACTCACTCCAATTTACCACATACTAAATAACGTCTTCATAATTTAATTTAATTTTGCCCACAACCCTGATCCTTCAGTTAATTTTCAATCCAATCCCATATTTAGATTTTCCTGGGTAATCTGGACAGTGCATAATCTCTTTAGGCCTACAATAGAGTTAGTAAAGCTAATCCAATTTAGCACAGAGATATTAAATAAGTATTAAATAAAGCTTATAGCTTGGTACAATAACAGTGGAGATAGTAATGTTTGGAATTGTTAAAGGGATAGTTCGGGTCTTTTGAGGTGGGGTTTTATGAGGTACTTATCCATAGTCGGTGTATTACTACAGCAGACGCCGGCTGTCGGCACCCCTCCAGTTTGGAGAAGCAGACCCGAGTACCGGCACAGCAGCAAAGCAATGAACTGTTGTGGGAAGGGACATCAGCAAAATGTATTTTAGCCACATAAAACAAAGGCCAACCTAAAAAGAATCCATACCAGATTTAAGTGTACACTATATTTAGAAGAGCCGGTTTATCTTGCCTTGAAACAGCTATACAGTCTATGTTTCCCACGGGGAACTGAAACTTTCATCTATGCTTTCACCAAAGCCACCAGACTCCACTGGATAAAATACCATAACTTTACAAATTACTATTTTTTTTTTTCAAGTGTGGCTGGTGGCTTTGGCGAGAGCATTAATGAACGGCTTCAGTTCCCCATCATAAACGGCAGTCTCATGGCAGAGTGAAGTAAAATATTCTAATTATAGCGACCATTTAAAGTGATATTGATTGTTTTAGGTGGGCCTTTCTTTCAGGTGGCGGAAACACATTTTTCTTCTGTTCCCAGTGGACAGCTGCACATTGCTTTGCTCATGTAACTCCTGTCTGCTTCTCCAAGTTGAGGGCGTGCCGACCGTCATCTATAATGCACTGACTGTGGATAAGTCCCTCCTACAGCCGCACTTCAAACAACCTGAACTATCCCTTTAATGCAGAAAGATTTGGACAACCTCTCCTCATACGCAGCATAACACAGTGTGCTTGCTTGTTGCAGTACTGTGCATTTGGAAGAGGTTGTGTTTTAATGGGGCACAGTGAAGCCTTTTGACAGCCAACATAACCAGATTGCTGTAAACAAAGGACTGGAAAAGGATCAGACTCAATGTGACCGACACATCTCATCTCCAACACAGATTGGCTTGGGGACATCCTTAATAACGGATCATAATTGGCTTGTTCTGACTACCGTGCTCTCTGGTAAAGGTCACTGAGTGCACGTGTGTGCCTCCATGAGGTGGCTGAATGTAGATAATGGGGTCAGAACGGAGTGCAGAGGAAGGCCTGTTTGCTCTCTGGTCCCATCTCTTTACAGCAGAAACCTCTTTTTCTCCATCAATAATTCATTCTCTGATTACACCAGAGATGAGGAGAGAGGAGGAGAACAGGAAAAAGAGAGTCTGTTAAAACACAATTACATATACAGAACAACTTCGGAGTGCAGCTGAAGAGTGATTTTCTGCGATCAAATTATAGTTTTTTTTTTAATGATTATATCGCCTGAATTGTTGCAACTTTCTTTATTCAGGCGAGAAAAAAATAAGCGTAAATATTTTCTTCTAGCTAGAGCTGGATTATATCTTGGTTGCGCTGGGAATAGTCACAGTGCTGCTGTTCAGCCATATTTATGACACAGTTAAGAGTCATTTTGCTGACATTTCTGTCATGTTTTATGAGTACATTGGAATGCGTTTGCAGCGTATTTAGATGTGGGAACAGTTGCTTTGTGGCTGTACATGAGCACGACAGCAATGATCATTCCTTTTAAATGTCAATACAGCCGATATCACAGCACAGCTGCTGTCATGAACCTGTATTTTTGTTTATTTCGGCTGTCGATGTCGTAATCAGGCAATAGTGTTTGTGTCAGCAGCTTGGGAATGACTGCTGGTTAACATATTTGACTACTAATGAGCCAAGACCAAATCATATTCTCATTTTGTGAATGAGAGCAACTGTATTGTGAATTCAGCTGCATTAAAACGCAGTCCAAGAAAGTGTTGTTCCCTCCCTCCTCTCTCTCTCTCTCTCTCTCTCTCTCTCTCTCTCTCTCTCTCTCTC